GGAAGGCTGCTGAGTGAGTTCCTGCTGTTGTGATGTTAATCCCATAAATGAATGTTATGACCAGATTATTGCGAGTAACGGTTCAATACTCATGAACGGCGTGAAGTCAACAATGGGTCACCGGGTGGAATCCTCGTCGATGAAGTTTTAGTCACGGCATGTTCAAAGATGTCTCCTGTTATCAGTCACTGTGGACATGAGTGGTCACGTTGGTGTGTTGTCGCAGTGAAATAGGATTGGAAGCCTTTAAATCGCTGCCATTTTTGGTTCGGCCAGCGGAGCTGGCTAATCAATTAACAGATCAGCGATTATGGGAGGCTTTCTTCAGTCACCTGCATCACCGCGTAAAACTTTAATCCAGCGGGACCATATGCTGCCACGGCCACGAACTTTCTGCCCTGAGGTGGTCCACACCTGTGGAATTGTTGGGCAGATCACCACAAATGTGTCCGTGTCAGTATTGGTCAGGTGCATGCATTTAGTCCTTTGGAATTTTTCATTATAGTTTGTTTCTATTTTGTTTTTCTTCTTTAGGAAGTTTTTTATTTGTTTTTAGACCTTTTAATTTGTTCGAGAATGCTTTACTTTTTAGTTGAGTTTTTGTGTTAGCTTTAGTTTTTAAATTTTTTTTTTTTTTATATATGGAGTATTTGATGAGTGCAAGACAGAAAAAAAAAGTCACTATTGTGTAATAAAATCAACTATAATTCCAAAATGACTGTTTGACCTTCAGGATGGCCTAACCATAATACTGAAATAAATATATTTAAAATACTTTGTCAACGCCAAAGCTCATGTATGAAATTAATGGACAAAGATGAAAACAGAGCACATTTTTACGATATTTATCATTAGTTTTTACAGTTTTTACGAACTTGAAGACACAAACACTTGCCGTACAGAATATAGGCCATTCTTTTTTGTCTGTAGGACTCCATGACTGGAATCGGCTGGAGACGTGTGTGGCGCAGTGGAGGAGTGGTTTGCAACCTTTTTTTCTAAATGACATACTTTGGCAGGAGCAGGAAGGCAGACGGACCTGTGAAGGATTTTTTTTCTGAATTATTGAACAGAATTTCAAGTTTGAACTTTTGTTGAATTCGTCTGTGAAATTGCGACACTTGTTTATCCCCCTCGCCTTCCCGTCGCTCCTTTCGTTTGCAGTATCCTCCCTTCCTACTGGGTCACTGAACTAAGCTGTCTAAGCTTAGCTGCCCTCTGCAGCTAATGCTAACTAAGAAGCTGTGGAAAAAAAAAACAGGTGGTGCCGATGGGACATGACCCATCCCCCCCATCGCCCATCACATGTCCTCACCAGATTCACCAACATCTTTTTATTTGGCACAACTATGGCTTTCTCCTCTTGACACCATATCTTTCAAAACAGGATGCCATTTTTAGGACTTGGCGACTTACTTGCCAAAAACTTGGTAAAGACTTGACTCTCAAGGGAAGAGAATAAAAAAAAATAATAATAATCCAGCGTCCACAGCTTCAGGAACGAATCTGTTCCTGGTGATGCTGCTCCGGATTCAACGTAGCATCAGGGGAGGGAATGGAAGACAATATGTGTAGGATGAAGATCCTTATTGTCAAGGCCCAATTTTTGCGTGGATGTCAAAGTGTTCCTAATGAAGTGACTGGTGATTGTATGGAAGTGTGTGGGTGGGTGTTTGCCCGCTGACTAACAGTGGAGGGGGCAGGGGTTGAGTCACGGCACAGGTAAGCTTAACACTTGCTGACCTACATAAACAAGTTGGCAGCTGGACTGGAATCACACTGTTGTTCCCTTTTGGAAAGAAAATGTCTGCCAGTGATTGTCTAACATTCATCCATCCATCCATGTTATTGTCGTTTTCTTCATTTGGCGAGCTGTAGAACTCTTCCAGCTTCCATCAAATAGTTACTGCATATAGACTATTAGTAAAGAAAACTTCACAGCTGAAATTAAAAATGGTTGGCAGATGATTGAACTGGCATTTTTTTTTTCACTTGGCAATAATTGTGGTCAAGTATGTTGAAATTAAAAATGGTTGGCAGATGATTGAACTTGCATTTTTTTTCACTTGGCAATAATTGTGGTCAAGTATGACAATTTCACATTTTGCTGGGCAGAATTCAATTGTGACCCCAATTCAAAAATCACCCAAATCATTTTTTTTCTCTTTTCAGATCTGATTGTTAAAGTCATTCAGCAAAATATGGGAGGACTCAAATTTGAAGAATGGAGAAAGGTTTGTGCTCTGGTTCATTTTGTACAGCTTTGAGACATCAAGTCACAATTTTAACGATTGATATTACCATTTTTTTCCTACGTCTCCTTATCATACACTTGATGCAGCCAGACAATGTCGTCCTCCTGCTCGAGGTATGCCCCTGACGACGTTCAACGTCAGTATAATCAACCGGATTGATTGACAAGGGTGACTGACAGGTGTTGTATCTTCACCCACTCAACAGGGGGCCTACTATGAGCTGGGGTTCCTGGTGTGCGCGACCGTCGGCGTTTTGTTCGTGGTCCTGGTCCCCGTGTTGGGCATGTGCTTCTGTGTTTGTCGTTGCTGCGAGAATTGCGGCGGAGAGATGCACCAGAGACAAAGGAAAAACGCCGATTGCCGACGAGGTTTCTTCACCACCACGCTCATTGCCACCACCATCACCATCATGTGAGGACTCCAAAACAATTTCATCTTGCTAACCTAGCAACAAACCACAGATACAAAAAAATATATACACACAATTTTTTGGGAGGGTGGATATTTTTCCTCTTCATTTAATGCTTGGTTTAGCTTGTCGCTAGGCAGAATTCATTGGGCGCAATTCCAACTGCCCCGCTACATGTGGCTAGGCAGAATTCATCAGGCTGTTTTATAACTGCTTGTTGCTTGTTAAAGTTTGATTGTAACTGCACCACCACTACTTGCTTGGCAGATTTGACATGGCTCGATTATAGCTGCCTCTTTACTTATTGTTCGGTCGAATCCATAACGCTTGATTGTAACTGCTCTTCTGGTTTTTGCTAGGCAAGGACTAATTTACCAGTGCTAGCTTTGTGTTACCTTGTAGGAATAATATGGGCTCAATTCATAACTGCCCCATTACTTGCTGCTAATCAGAATTCATAGGCCGCAGTTATAACTACCCGTTTGCTTGTTGCTAGGCAGAATCAATCAAGGGCTCAATCTTAATTGCCCCACCACCTGTTGAAAGGTGTTTCGTAAGGTTCGATTATAGCTCCTAGAATGAATTCGTTGACTTGATGACAACTTCCCACTCGAATGTTACAAGACAGAATTCATAAGGCTTGATTATAACTACCAGAGATCATATGGCATGATTACAAATGGCCAGCCACTTGTTGCTCGGCAGAATTTAGAGGGCTCAGTCATAACCATCCAACCATTTGCTGGTAGTGAGAATTCATTGGGCTAAATTATAACTGCCCTATTACTTGTTGCTAGGTTGAGTTCATTTGGCGCAGTCAAAACTACTCAAAGACTTGCTGTTGCCTGGTAGAATTCTCACTGGGCTCTCTTACAAGAGCTTTGGCAGCTTAAGCAGAATTTGTAGGCCGCAATTCTAACTTCCTGTCATCGGTTGCTCGACAGAATTACTGGGCCACCATCATGGCTGTTTCGATGCTTGTTGTGAGGGAGACTTCATGGGGCTCAATTGTAACTGCCCCATCACCTGTTGCAGTTCAAATTCTTCTTACATTTATTTTAGATAACATGATTTAAAAAAACAACAACTACCCCTTCCCTGTGTTGGAGCCATTGCTTCCCTTGAACTCCCGGTTCTCTTTTTTTTTTTTTTTTGTATTTACATTCAAAAGCGAATTAAATGTTCTGTGTACTGTATGTGTTAGTCTGGGGGTACTCGTGGCCTACGCAGCAAACCACAACCTGAGCTCGCACATCAAGAGCACTCGGCGGTTCATTAACACCAACATCAGAGACTTGAAGACATTCGCCAACAACACACCCGCGGTAAGCACTTTTTCCCCTCACTTATTCACTCATTCAGGTGGTTCAAAAAGCCTTAAATTCACTTTTTTTTTTTTTTTTGGGCCACTTTCTTGCAGCAAATCGAATACATGACCGCCCAGTACACGACAGTCAAAAATAAAGTCCTGTCCGAACTCGACAGTAAGTGGGTGTACTGTACATTTAATGGATTCCGTCGCAAATGTTGCCTTCAGTGTCTTATCGTGATAGATATTGGACCTTTACTGGGCGGGAGGATTCACAGTCAGCTGGAAAAGGAAGTGGTTCCGTCCCTGGACACGGCCTTGCGCATGGCAGGAGGTACGCCCGTTAGCCTTCTTTGAAATGTTGGTTTCATCTGAAAGATGCTCTTTGAGAACCCCTGCTTAATTTTGTAGCTCAAGCCTGTACCTGAAAAAGGGGTATATGACGTACGTCGCATAAATGAGCACATTGTGTTAAAAAAAAACTATTGTCCTGTTTTTTTTTTTCATCTCACATGTTCTTTTCTTCTAAAGTTAAAGTTGAGAATGCAATCAAAGGTAACGGGAAAATATCCTGGATTTGTGCTTGTGACTAGACGTGTCAGTGGACCGGTTCTTGCGTGGTGTTCTGTCTTTAGTTTTGTGCTCTTGTGCTCCTTGTGGTTTTTTAAAAATGTCTATTTCTTCTTAATTTTGGGGCTCGAAATGTATTTCTGAGCAAAACATGTTGGCTTGCAGCCATGCGTGAGACAAAGGAGGCGCTGGAGAGCGTCAGCTCATCGCTGCAAATCCTCCAAGAAGGCACAGACGCGCTCAAGGACAGTCTGTCCACAGAGAGAGCGTCACTGTCCAACACCTTGTCGGACCCGGCCTGCACCAACGGCGCCGTGTCGCCGAGCTGCAACGCCATCCGCGCCACGCTTTTCCAGCTGGGCGTCAACGCCGACTTCTCAAAGGTGACCCCGGAGCCACGTTTCAAAATAAATGAAGGCGAGCTCGATGGATAAACTCTTTTATTGTCTTCTTTTGCAGCTCCCGGATGTCGACTTTGCCTTGGAGAATGTCCACACGGTCCTGAAGACAGACCTCAGTAACATTATACAGAAGGTCCGCTGTTAACAGGCACTTTTTTTTTTCAGAAACATCAAAGACAATTAGTAACGCGACATCAAAAGCAGTTTAGTTTTGAAAGATAGATACGAGAATTAAAAGGGGAGTTTTCCGTTTTCAAACTGCTATCATGATTTGAACGTAGCCGACCCACCGCTCACGTTATGGTTGTCATTGACCCTAACGTCCGTCCATTATCTGAAGCGCGTTTTTCCTAAGCATCAAAGACCGCTGTACGTTTTAGATGGGGAACTACATACTGTATATGGGTTCATGTATAAATAGATGACAATTTCAAGTTTTCAATGAATCAAATGTACGTTTTTTTTTTTTTTCTTTTTCGTAAACAGGAGTAGTATTGTAACTTGGCGTGTTTTCGACTTGCCCTCATCTGTGATCCAAACGCTGATTTTTAAATTGGAAATTGTGAGTCGGACTTTGAGTCGAACTGATCTTAAAGATAATTTAGTCGTCCAAGAGCAGGTTTATTTCTCATTTTTAGTTTCTAACCCCGCCTATTTTTTTCTCTTCCCTCTGCATTTAGGGCTACACGTCCTTCAATGACACGCCGAGGCTGGTCAAAGAGCAAACCAAAAACATTATAGGAGGTATACAAACTGCTCCTGTTTGTGTGTACAGTGAACCCCGGATTGTTGCTGGGGATGCGTTTCAAATCTGACAATCGGTGAAAATTATTCATAAGGAGAGACCATGTAAAAACATTTTTCAAAAAAAGTTGTAGCAAACACACACACTTGACGCATATTTAATAACTGCTACTTTAATACACACAGAGCAGGAAAACATACAGAATTAACATCCAACATTACTCACAGCTTTGTCGACCCCTTCTTCTTCCTTGCTTCTGTCTCGTTACATCCAGTGCAGCTCAGTGCTGCTGTAAATGTTGTGGTAGAAAGTGGTACTACGCTGATGCTGCACAACTCAAAATTCGGAACCCATAAAATTTTGTTGGGGTTCGCTGTACTGTACTACTATTCATAATTGTCACATTGTTTTACACCCTGTTGTCGTCTCCTATCTTCATTTCCTTTCTTGCGGACAACTAAACTGCAGCGTTACCTCGTGAGTGCTCCTCCTTAAACTTCTTCTTGAATCAAGCGACCATTGTTGCTGTTTGACATATGACTCGCGTGTCTGTGTAATGTGGGCTTTTTATGTGTTCAGGAGTGAAAGGGATGCTGGATAAAATCGGCTCTGAGATCAACGGCTTCGCCAAAATGTTTCCAGTGGAGGCGTCGCTGGCCAACTTCACCATCTTCCTGAACCAAGGGCAAAAGAACATTGAGTCGTACTACGCACAGATTGACCAAATTGACTTCTACAGGTTTGCTTTTAACATGAATATAAAATAATATTCAGAAAGAATAGTTTCTTTCGGTGAATTCAAACCTTTTCTGCAGGTGGATCGGCTGTGTGGCGGTGCTGTGCATGGTGGTGCTCATCCTGTCCTTCAACATCTTGGGCCTGCTGTGCGGCACGTGCGGCTATGACAAGCAAGCCACGCCAACCAGCCGCGGCTGTTTGTCCAACACGGGCGGGAACCTGCTGATGGCGTATGTACCAAAAAAATAAATGATAAAATAGACGTTGCAGGTCCGGTATTTGAATTACATTACTGGAGTCGGATTTACAGTCCACACTGTTTTTTTAACAAACGGATCTTGGTGGTTTGCATCACTGAAGTGACTCCACACATGATCTGTTTACACTCTGACAACGTGTCTTCGAGCTGAGACCGAGTGACAAATTGATGGCCTTTTCACAATGCACTTCGCTTTTTTTTGGTGTTCACCGCGGGGCATGGCGACGGTACAACGGCGCTCTGGAGCACGTTGGCCCATATTGTGATTGCTTAGCAGCCTACCAGGAAGTAGCAAAGATATGTTTCACAATGCTTGCTCTACTGCTCTTATCACTCTGAAAATACTCTGACAAGGCCTTTTACATGACGTTAAAGAGAGATTGCTCCCGGCTGTCGAGACCCCGTAACTTTTCTGACTGGCGACCATGGTCTCAGATTTAGAGTTGCTAATGCTCATCGCGACAGCTTCACACTCAGATGCGAACCACGACTAACTTGTGATTTGCATGTACGTGTTTTCGTCCTCCCCTCTACAATCTGAGGCCATGCATGAATGATGATGTCTTGTCTTGTATCTTTGGGTCTCTGACAGCGGTGTGGGCTTCTCCTTCATCTTCGCCTGGGTGCTGATGGCCATCGTTACTACGCTGTTTGTCGTCGGGGGCAACGTGGAGAAAATTTTGTGCGAGCCGCTGGCCAGCCGGCAGCTGTTCCAAGTATGGGCCTTAAATGCTGTTTATTGCTTGAGCATGTTGACATTCATTCGTTCATCGGAACCTAAACTACATTCGTTTTTTTTTTTTTTTTAAGGCTGATTCTGACAACTGACTGATCGTCAGTCAGTCTGTCATGAGCATCATTTGAATCAAGGCAACGGAGCCATTCTAGTTTCCTTGATTTCAAAGGGCTTCATCAGGTTCAAATTTTTCAGTGTGGAGCCGCTACATTTGTTGGCCAGTGTGTTCCCTGAGGGGAGTCAACATTTACGGTATTCATCTGCGAAAACAGGGGCGCTTATAAAAGGCAACTCGGCACACTCCTATTTTGTTTTCCCCTGTTGGTCATTGTTTTGTGTGTGTTTGTGTCGCTTCCATTCTGTTGCACCCTGTGTTATAATGACAGCCATTCTGACATCTTTCCCGCCAAAGATCGCCTAAAAAAAATACCTTCATTTTTAATGCATTTACAAGAGGCGTCACTTGGATGCGGATTTTCTCTCTGCACAGGCCAACCCGGTCCTTTTCCTCACGCGAGTAGCAAGGGTTCGCGGTACGCTAAAATAAATGGTTTCATTGTGATTATACCTGTATGTGGCCTCAGATCATAGACACACCCTTCCTGGTCCATCCGGCCAAGAAGAACTTCCTTCCTGGAATGCTCTTTCAGAACCCAAACATTGACTTAACCTTGGGGAGCATGTACAGGTAAAGGAACCGCAATCATTTCCCATAGCATGTCGTTGACATTTTTGATGGGCTCACCGATGCTGTGTTTTGTTGTTGTCGTTTTGGTATTTATGTAGAGAGTGCTACGACAACAACGGGCTGTATCACGCTCTTCAGCTGGAGACCATGTTCAACATCAACTCCTTCCTCAACAGGACAGTGGCAAGTGTCCGGTCGAAATGCGACTCGCTCGTGATAAGTGTCGGATCATATTAATTGTGTGCTATGCGTGTGTGTCATTAGTACAACAAAGACCTGGCCAAAGTGCTTGAGAACGTGCAGGTGGACATGCAGGACGTCACGCTGCTGGAACAGGAGGGCAGAGACAACCTCATCAACTTTGCCAACGCGGGCATCGGAATCATCGACTACGAAGCCTACCTGGCTGAGGTGGCTTGACATTAATACTGGGGACAGTGGCCTTAGTGATTGACTGCTAGATTAGCGGCCGTCAATTCGTCCTTACTGAGTCAGTGACTTAACCGGTTAGACAAAAACTTAGCTCAGTGATTAATAGGGCTGAATGATTTTTTATTTTTTGGTTTCAGGATTGAAATTGTGATTCTAGAGAACATAATTTCGAGCTGTAATGAGGCACCATCGCCAACAGAGGGCAGCCATGTTCGATTTCAGCTAATTAGTCAGCTGGTCAACCAGGTGATCTGTTTGGTTGTGAGTTCGTCACCCTGGGAGGGAATTGGTTACTTACCGAACGAGTCAGTTAATTTATTAATCAGTGAATTAGTTAATAAGTCAGCCAGCCAGCCAGTCAGTTCGTTAGACTAGATGAGCAAATAGATGGACAACATTGATTGAGAGGTTCCGCTGTATTCCGAATCAGAAATCGAATCGAATGTCTCCAGGAAACCAGAAATCGAAAATATAACACAAAGACCGCTGACTGTAAAGTGACAAACTTGACATGTTGTTTATGTTTTCAAGGTGAATAAGGGAACCACCCTTGTGGACCTTCTGACCTTTGCCACTGACCTGGAGGGGCAGGCTGACCAGCTTGTAAGTTGATCAGACCCCCGAATACTGACTTTTCTTAAGCATTGGTGGTTCAGTGGTAGAATTCTCGCCTGCCACGCGGGAGGCCCGGGTTCGATTCCCGGCCAATGCACTTACCTTTTCTTTTGCTCACTTCCTCCAAACATGTGGCAAGCGTTACCTCGACTCCCACGTTTTACTTTCCTCAATCTTTATTTCTGTGTGTGTGTGTGTGTGTGTGTGTGTGTGTGTGTGTGTGTGTGTGTGTGTGTGTGTGTTTGCAGCCACGTGGCGCTCTGGAGAACGCGCTCAAAGGTCACGCCAGCAGCGTCCGACAGATCCACCGAGAAGTGGTGATCCCCATGGAGCAAGCCATGGTACATTCCATGCAAAATACGCACGTGCACCTCACGCGTTTATTATTGTTCTACGCAAGCAACTCCACTCACATTTTTCTCTCCTTTTATTCACTGTGACAGAAATATGTCCGTGCCAGGGTAAGCGCGGTGACAGTGGTTGTTGTGTTTTTACTGTCGTCATGCTGTGGTGACGTGGCGGTGTGCCCCGGACTTGTTCATGAAAATTCAACAAGTACACTTTACATGAGCGTAACAAGGGTTTTTGTGTCATTGTGCAGAGCACCTTGAGTCAAAGCATAAAGCAGCTGCAGAAAACCTCCAAAGACCTGCCGGTGAGACACTGCAAAAAAAAAAAATTAAAAAAATATATATATACACACACACACATATACCACTCTAAATTAATTTTTCATGTTTTCATATTTGTTTTTCACGTAAATATATGTACATATTTTACACAATTGTGTTTCATTTTTTGTTGATTTTTACATATATTTTTTTGCAATATGTTAGGTTTTTGTTTTTTTCATGTCGCCTATGTTATAATTTACTTATGTTCATGTTACATTGCTACATGTTTAAGTTTATATTTTCGTGTGACTATTTTTTTGCATTCATATTTGATTCCCATGCTTATTGAAATTGTACTTTGGCATACATGTCATCATTTGTATTACAATTATTATTTATACAGTGTTTATTTATCTCGTATTTGTATTTTGCATCTCATTGTCATTTGTGTACTACTTTTTTGAATCGTTTTTAGCGTGTAAGCTATTTTACGGTCCATTGTCTTTTTTGGACTACATTTTACACTTTTAAATGTTGTTTAGGTGAAGGTGACCAACATCCTGAGCGCCATTGATGCCTCAGAGTACCTCATCAGTAACAACGCCTCACATGTGGTGAAACAGGTACCAAAAACAAACAAACAAACAAACAAACATAATTGGCAGTGTGTTTTTAACCCTTTTTGGGAAGGGATGAATGTTGTTTTTTAAAGAAACAAACGAACAAAAAAATTGCTCTTCTTTCAAGAAATATACACACAGTATATAATTCGCTTTGGTTGTGTGTCTCCAGGAAACCAGAAACTATGTCCAAAGCTTGGTGGGATACTTCAAACAGTACACAGACTGGGTTCACAACTCTGTGAGTGTTGTTTCCGCTTCTACAAAATCGTGTCAGATGTACAATAATGCCATAATATTCAGGACTATCATGTGTTTGGTGGCTGCAGCTGACTGCGGAAGTGGCTCAGTGTAAACCCATCAGCAACATTGTGGACAGCATGGAGATCGTTGCGTGCAGCTTCATTGCCGACTCAGTGGTAAGGCACCATGCCAGATTTGTTACTGTATGTAAAGAGACTGGACGCTTTGTTCACAAGCATTGGTGGTTCAGTGGTAGAATTCTCGCCTGCCACGCGGGAGGCCCGGGTTCGATTCCCGGCCAATGCAACTTGCTTTTCGTTTAGGTCCTCAAACATGTGGAAACCATCAGTACCCCCTGCCCCCATCCAGATGTTTTGCTGTCCTTTTTATTCAATTGAAATATACTCCCGGTATGTTTTTATATATATGTGATGTCAATTCCGCTTCACCGAACCCAATAGTATCCGTCTGCAGCTTGCAACCCACACTTAACCTCCCGGCGACTGGCGACTTTAAATTTATTTTATATGAAAATTCACAACACCGTGAGCACACTGCTGAGCATTGGTGGTTCAGTGGTAGAATTCTCGCCTGCCACGCGGGAGGCCCGGGTTCGATTCCCGGCCAATGCAACCTAGCTTTTCATTTTTTAAAAAATTAGATCCTAAGGAATGTGGCAAATATCAGTCTGCCCCCCCCCCCCCCCCCCCCCCCGGCCCCCGGTGATTTTGAATTTGTTTTTTAAATTGGATATTCTCACCACCGTAATAGAACTTCTGAGCATTGGTGGTTCAGTGGTAGAATTCTCGCCTGCCACGCGGGAGGCCCGGGTTCGATTCCCGGCCAATGCAACTCCTTTTTCATTTGGGTCCTCAAAAATGTGGAATTCATCAGTCCCCCCCTTCCCCCAAAAGATGTTTTGCTGTCCTTTTTATTCACTTAAAATATACTATGTCTCATATAAATGTCATGCCAATTCTGCTTAACCGGACCCAATAGTATCTGTTTGCATCTTGCAATTTTAAAACTTCTCAATATGGTATGTCCGGTCGTAAGGAGCAAGAATATATATAAGCATTGGTGGTTCAGTGGTAGAATTCTCGCCTGCCACGCGGGAGGCCCGGGTTCGATTCCCGGCCAATGCAACTTCCTTTTCCAATTGTGTCCTCAAACTGTTAGCCTGAACTCCAGATGTTTATTCTTTTAAGTTTTGCAAGAAAGTAACGTCAACGCTGCGTCACCAAATCCAATAGTAGCCAACTGTAGCATGCCTAACATCTGGTTGCACATCGAGAAACGCCCACTGTCAAGTCAAGCTGGAGGAGCATTGCGGATTCCCGGGCCAATGCAAGCGGTTTTTAGACGGTGAATAAGAAGGGTTCATTTTTTGTTTTTTCTAGAACACGTTCTGGTTTGGACTGGGACTGTGCAGCATCCTGCTGCTCCCCAGTATCATCATCTCCATCAAACTGGCCAAATACTACCGAAGGATGGACACGGAGGACGTCTTCGAAGAGTGAGTTCACACAACACAATTCAATACATTATACACAGTAAAGAGATCGTATTTATCAGTTTATTTCCTCTTCTTCCCATTTTTAATCACCCTTAATTTGTGTCATTTTTCACACTCATGATTTTCTCCCAGCTCCCTTTACCCTTGGCTTGTTGCCCTTTGACCCTTCTTTCGTTGTCACGTTTCGTCCTCGCTTTGACTTTGGATCTTTACCTTCTTCATCATCATCATCATCACTATCATCTTCATTCTCAAAAGTCATCTCCTCTTTTGGATGAATCCTTCTTTTGATGCTTTCCGATGATCTTCTTCACTCTGGACATTTTGCCACTGGGCTCTTCTTTTGCATTATGGGTAATAACGGTAAACCTGATGCCCGATACCTTTGGAAACTGTGCCGTGCCATCGATCGCATGCACGTGGTGAAGGTATATTTTTATGTAGTATTATTATTATTGTTCATATTTTTTTATTACTGTATTTCCTGATTGAGTCCCTCTAATAGCCGCCATGACCCCAATTTTTATTACAATACAAATAAACACCCCCCTGAAAGTCGACGCCTCATTCTTCCCATCAATGGAAAGCATGTTTTAAAGGGGAAGTTATGTTCTTTGCTATAATACATTCAGTGCACTCCCACTATTGCAAACACAAACTTAATTTAAAAAAATAACAAAATCGGAGAAAGCCCTCATCGGAGATAGTTCTCATTGGCTCAAGTTCCCTTCTGTGTGTGTGTGTGTGTGTGTGTGTGTGTGTGTGTGTGTGTGCGTGCGTGCGTGCGTGCGTGCGTGCGTGCGTGCGTGCGTGCGCACACGTACGTATTTGCCTGTGCAGTAGCTCCCCCTATAGCGACACCCTGTTCCGATTCCCTCGAGCCTCGGCTCCCCCGATCTGCGCCGACTGCTGATTCAAAATGGAGGTTGTCTCCCCCATGACGAGGTAAAAGGTCAATCTTCTTACAGTACCGTTTGGGGCTTTGAACATATCGCTCGAAGCGGTCAACAGCCGCCAGGATCCCAGTCTTATCCTCTTGATCAAGCGTCCATCGCTTTCATCTCAGATGTGACAAGAAGACGTGGAGAGGACACTTAACTTTGGTGGGGACGCCAACAGCACTTCTGTCGCCCTGCGCCGCCTTTTTGTGCACAATCTTTGGATCGGCCATCTTGACGTCTAATATTATGAGAAAGCAAAATACATGACTTGGACGTGACTCTAATCATGTGGAACACTTTCTTATTGTAGCCTGATCATATAAGTCATCTTTGAATTTCTTCAGAAAACAGAAAAACAAATAGGCAAGCTTAGTTTTTTTGATTGATTTGGTAACAGTATGTTAATAATGACTTCAACAATTATGCTCTTTGCCCTTCGGAAACGCTTTAAGTATGACTAAACAAAGACACGAACAAGGTTGCTGTATTAATTGTATTTTTTTTTTCACAGTGGACAAGAAAACTGGAACTGAAGCGCCGGTTCTCGTAAGTGCTTGTTTTATGTCATCCTGACTCAAGAAAAAAAAGGGAAGGCAAACAACAAGGCCCATTTATTGACTGTTGGTGATTCTCGACGTCGCCCTTCAGTTTTCCAAGATAACCCAATTCTGGATTTCCTCTACAAATCTTTGGATTATCCCAAAACCAACGGGGTGGGGGTGGGGGACTAAGGTTAACAAACAAACAGGAACTCTGAACTTTCCAGCCAATTGTCATGTACTTATTCAAAGCTACCCGAATGTGTTTTAACTCACCTGTCTTTCTCACATAGCTAATTCCGTCTGTATCCTTACTGTCAGTCACATGGACACAATGTGTACATTTTTATATATATATATATATATATTTGTTTATGTTTCTTTTTCTAACATATGTTTAGTTTTTGTTTTGTTTTTTTGTAGAACTAGCCTTTCCTTTATGTGAGAGCGAAACTATTAGCATGGTTTGCGCTCAAGAGGTTACGAGAGTGGTTTGAGGAATATTAAATTGTTGGTTTCTGACACCATGCAACCAGCTGTATCTTCTTCAAAAATAACTTGTGATTTGACAATTTAATATGAGATACCTGACGTTTGGGAAGCATCATAGCATCATATTTAGTTTTTTCATCGTAATATTTTGTCATTTTATACTCTCAGTGGTCCACTGTAAGTAGCTTTTGAGTTCCCTTTTCCTGATGTTTCCAAGTTAATGCTAAGCTAGCAGAAAATCAGCATGTAAGATGATTTTCCCAAACTCCAAGCTCAAGCTAAGCTAAGATAACAGGAAATAGTAAAATAAATTACAAAGTCAGCTTGTGAGCTTATTTTCCCCAACGTTTCCAAGCTAATGCTAAAGACAAACAGAAGTGGAGGTGCGGTGGGGGGGGGATGATATTAGCTTGTGAGTTGCTTCATCACAATGTTTCCAAGGTCATGCGAAGCTAACAGGAAGTGGAAACTTTCTCTTTATGTCAGCTTGTGAGCTGCCCTTTCCATTGGTTCCAACATCGCGCTAAGCTCATAAGAAATAGTTAAAAAAAAAAAAAAAAAAGCTAACAATGTTGGGGGGGGGGGTGTGTGGGTGGGTGTCAAAGTGCATACACAAAAATGAATACGCATAAATAGACGCTTTGGAAAAAAAAAATTCAACAAAAACGCAAGCTCGTGACATTCCAAAAGTGCCATCACGCAACCGTCCACTTGCAACATACATTTTCGCAGATGCACGCATTTTACTGGATGAAACCATGACATGTGTGTGTGTGTGTGTGTGTGTGTGTGTGTGTGTGTGTGTGGGTGGGTGGTGTTTGGAGGGGGGGGGCTCAAAACCATGAATTAAAAAAAAATCTAACAAGCGTCGGCTTTGTCTACATGGTGGCTAACAGAAGCTCTCTGTCAGTGACATGTATGAAGAGGCGAGCGCATTTCCCAGTTTAATAATATTAGCCACTCTGCCAAAGCACACACAACGCAATCACTCATACGTTTTGGGGTGATGACAGCTTTTACACATAAGACCATTGCGATTTCTTTTGATGTGACTTGCCGTGATTCAACCTACATTCATGAAATGGAGAAAAATGTCGGAACAGAAGTATCTGTATTTGAACATAATTTTTCCGCCGGCTACTAATGTCTTAAGTTGTGTTTGGTTCTAAACTGTGTGCAAGAAAAAAAAGCTGTAATATTAATCACGTTACATTACTAGATAGCCTCACTGCGGGCATATTTTTCCCCGCCTTGACAGTTTTTCTTCAAAAGTCCCCCGTCGCCACCCACTGTGCTCTTTCCCACCCCCTCTTGATTGATGAACTTCCTGAATGGCGGTTGGGTGTTCAGGAAATCAGGCAGGCGGCAGACTAAACATTGCCGCCACTGTTCTGCTTTGTGTCCCCTTTGCAGCCCACTTAACACTTACTTGAAAGACGTCCTCTGTTATCCTCAACTCTCAATCCCGATCAGGTTGTGCTCAACTGCTTTTGGAAAGCCATAAGATTTGAGTTTTTGATGAGGAAAAACAGCACCCACTTGTGACGAGGATTAATAACAAGAATGTAAAGTAATACGTACATTTAATGCTTCAGTGTGCTGCTCTGTCTGGTGTGCATCTCGGCCACCAGGAGGCAGTGCTGTTTAACACAGCAATACCAACGAAGAGTGCACTTCATTTTTCGTAGAGGATAAAGAATATATGCCTGTGGATATTGTTTTTGTCCCGATTACTGCTTATTTTTAAAATACCTTTATTTAAAAAAAAATTGAATTACAAAAAATACAACCACGCTCTTTGCGTTGCGGCCCGGAGTAAAAGTCGTAATAAAAGATTTTACATGATAAAGTCTTGAGTTTGAAGTTGTAATTTTATATTGATAAATTTGTAATATACAGGAGTGGGGGGGGGGATCATTACGATTTAGCGTTACGATTTAGCGTTACTTTTCAACAAGAAGTGGTATAATCTTTCTTGAAATATTATAGACACAAAACCCCGTATTTGTACGAGAAAAAAAATCTTTAACAGAATTTAATTCAATTTTTTTCACGTAATTTGTGGTATTTGTCACTCAATTTTATTTTATTTTATTTTTTGGGGGGTGGGGGGGAGTGGCATGAATTAACAAATAAAAGGTAATTTAACATTTAAGTCATAAACTTAATGTGACAAAAAGTCGTTAGGTAATGTTAAATAGATTTTTGGGGCGGGGGGGGGGGGGGCTTTTGATTTTATATAATATTTAATCCTTTCATGCACCCTATAACCTGATAACATGATAAGCTTTCCACTGTAGTAGCCGCTGTCCCTGATAGGATTAATATTTATAAGTGATGCTTATTTTTTTATTTCTTTTTTCGTAACTGAGCCAGAAGTCAATTTGATCAGGCGCAGGTATAAAGTACATACTAATATTTGTCCTATAAAGCACTCGCTAATTCCTGACAGCATCTTTGCCTCCCTGTAGGTAAGCATTAAGAACCCTTTCAATGCTTTCACAGACTCCTAAAGTTTATTCTGGCACCTCAAAATCATAAAAGACGTGCTTCTTATTTGGACAGATCATCTTTCACTCTCTTAATAGGAATATATAGCGCGCATGCATACACACATACAAATAGATGCCGTATATTTATGCATCAATAGTGAAAGAAGGTCCTATGTGGGATTATGTAATGTGTCACGAAGAGGTTTGCCTCGTGCCTTATGGGTTCGGCATCGTTAAAAGTCACCCGCCCTTCACCCCTTTCCCTGAGTGGACATCACACACTCCAGGTGTTTGTGCGTGTGTGCGTGTGTTTCCGCGCTTGTGTGTGGTGTGAGGAGGAGGAGGAGGTGGTGTGTGTTGAGCCAAAGAATGGCATCTTTGTGCACCTCGACCCGACACCGCCGCTTTCGGATGTTTTTGATCAAGTCCAAATAGAGCCAGAACAAAGGAGGACTTTTACAAGAGAAAAGTAGGCTAAAATAACATTGAAAATTTGCACGTATCGAGTCGGGCATTTTATAAGAAAATCATTTTATGTGCATTTATTATGATATACTGGATATTAGTATGCAAAGTGAAGGACTCTCTTGAATAAAAATGACCATTCAAGGACAGCACAAAACCGCTGAACAAGAAAATAACTTTTCTCACCAAAATCAACTGTCTAAATTTTTCTATTATCGAGGCGCCATGTTTGCATAGCATTCTCAATAAGCAAAAAGATCAAAAAAATCATGTGGTCGGACACTGTAGGGCAGTACAAGACCCAATGTGAGCGCATTTACAACATTTCTGGAATCTAGTGGTGATTAGTGATCTTACATCTTAAAACCACAGTCGAGCTTTGCATATTCGCAGTTTGGGACATGCAGATTCGCATTTTCAATTTTTTTTTTTTTTAACACGAATAAGTTTTCGTTATTCAGTACACCCATGCGCCCAACTCATTGCCCGCCTTCCCCCGCATCGCGTGTGCGGTGTAGGCGGAGCTGCATATTCACCTGAAGAAAGGCGTCTTTGTACTCCTCAACCTTATAAAGCCGCCCTTGGACCCTTTCTGGCCTTCGCGCACCCTTTCCGTACTCGTCCTCTAAACGTCACTTCCCAGTATGAGGGCCCCAGCTGTCGTTCTCGTGATGGCGGCGTGGGCGTGCGCGTGCCACGCTCAAACCGACAACAGCGTCAACCAGCAGCAGCGCAGCATCTGGGACGAGCCCATCCGCTTCAGCACCAAGAGCAAGGACGCCTGCACCATGGTGGTGTCGGGGGCCTCCGACCACACCCGGCTGCGCGTTTCCTGCAAGGGCCCCACGCCGCCAGGCGCCGGTCAGGGCCGCGCGTACTACTGCGACTTCCAGGGCAAGCCCAACCTGTGCCGCGCCTACAGCCTCAACCCGCGCCACTACTTCACGCAGATCATGTGGGAGCTGCGCAAACTGAGCCACGCCTGCCAGGGCGCCAAAGTCTACCGGCCGCCCATGTGTAAAAAGCATCCCGACGAGGTCCAGATGAGCTTCTTGTCCGCCTGGCCCCGAGCAGCCAAGCCCGCCAAAGCCGGCGCCCCGGCTCAGCCCAAACCCGCTGCCACTCAGAAACCGCAGAAGCCTCAGACGCCCGTCAAGCCCCAAGCGGGCAAAGCCGTCCCAGCCCCCGCCAGGAAGACCACCCCCAAGCCAGCCAAGACCACCGCGAGGTCCCCGACGGAGCTGCCCGAGTCCAAGGCGTCCCGCATAGCCACGGAATACTGCTGGAAGAGCTTCCACGGCATCTGCACGTACTTCATTGGATGGTTTAAGAACTGACGCGGACGGGTGAGTCACGCTGCAAGAAAGCGGGAGGGAGGGGGGGAAGGCCTGTGACTACACATCGGCTATGTCAAAGTGAACTCCACATTTTTGGGGCTCCTTGGATGGACCCAGTTTGCTCGGATTTGTTTACTGACCCCTTGTCACTAGGCAGATTTCACAGATATCGTTGAGGTTTCGATCATTAATTCCCCCATTGGCCAATTACAAAAATGAACTGGCTACCAGTGCAGTCCCTCCGAATACAAGTCAGACATCAATCAAATTATTGCCAAATAAAATAATAATAATACTTGTTATTACATATGCATAAATCCACCCAACATGTAATCATTATTTATTTTTATTTTATCCAATAATCTGTATGTATAATTCATTTTTTGTATTAATTTTTCAAACTTCACGCCCCCCTCAAAATATATTAGTTTTGCTTAATTCATTTTTAAAACCTATTTATAGAGAAACAAATATATTGTACTCTCAATCCAAATATTAATTTTGATTCTTTTTTACTTTTAAAAAATTACATCACAACCTACTTCATCAATCAATCAAATTATTTTTTTACAGAAATTCTGCAAATGATATTTGATGCTTTTTTTAGTATTTATTTTAAACAATAATCACAAAATGTTTTATTTTAATACTTGTTTATAAAATATTTTTGGAACTGAAAAATATGCTAATTTAAATGTGTATTTTTTATAAGATTTTTTAAAATTTGTGTAACGGAAATTTCACAATAAAGTCACTGGTCTTTGTTAAATATAAACTACATTGATAAAGGAGATTAAAAAGTCATTTGGAATGTTGAAATACTATCCGTTGATAAAAATATAAAATCGTGTAAAAACGATTAATCCATCAATTGGAATTCAATGAATGCAGCCTTTATGATACAAGAAACAATTGTGAAAGTCAAACAATATTTAAAATGTTGGTTGGATATGTCGAATTTATTCATTCATAAATTTTGTTTCAGGTGGGGGGACACCGCCAATGGACTTGTCACTTGACATCGTCATTCACAACTGAGCATCACTGTAGTGAGTGAGTGATCGTCAAAATTGGAAGAATAAAATGAAGAGTTCTCATTTTTATTCAAGCACCGTGTGCTGTTTTGCTTTTTTTTTTTTTTTTAACCTCTCAAGCCGCTTCCAATCATGCGCTGCGTTCAAAGACCTCCTTGTTCACACACATCAGCAACCCGTCTGCCGACTGGCCCCGGAGAGTTGTTCACATGTCGGACAGCTGAACTACACACTACACTATTCAGCTGTGAACACATAAACACAGAGGTGGCCTGTGTGTTCCACAGACTGGCCTACTAACCTCAAAACAAACTTATATTGTTCGAACATCAGTAGAGAAGCAGGGTACAGTGGATATAAAAAGTCTACACACCCCTGCTGGGATGCAAGAATAACAGGGCACACCCTGGACTGGTCGCCAGCCAATCACCAGGCAAATATACCATCAGCATTCACACTCACATTCATACCCACGGAAATCTAGTGTTTAATTAGCCGAACATGCATGTTTTGGGAATTTGGTAGCAAGCTGGAGTATCTCAAGGGTCCAACCCAGAACCTCTCAACTTTGAGGCAGAAGTGCTGACCACGAGCTGACTGTGCTGAGCCTCACTATTGCAATGCTTTCTCTTCATAGACATGAAGAAGCATGTCCTCGATGACTCATGAGTAACTGGAACCAGTTCCCCAATCATTGGGCTCGGCCGAGCATGAGTGATTTGTCTTTTCTGGGCTTCAGTGTGCCTGAAAAGACTGAATTTTTCGAACCGTGTCAAGCCGAGTGAACGGTATTTATTTTCGCGGTTCCAAATATCACCCTCCTCAAAACTCCCTCAGAGCCCCGAGTGGAAAGTTTGAGGAAAAAAATCATCCCCAGACACCACTTTTGCGGAATCGCAATGAAATTGGTTGCACATGTTGACAACAACAGGGCGCACCAGGGAGAATAGATTAACCATGAATGTTTTTATGAATGCTTGTTTGCTCATATGTGCCTTTTGTACCCCGCTAGGTTTAAGATTAGGGCCCTTCAAATCTGGCAGCATCCACCCATACTCGGTATTCCAAACAGACGTGTTTTGCAATCATGGCGTGCGTCAAATTATGCCAACATGTCCTGGCTTGTCAGCATGTTTACCAGGCTTTCATTAAAATGTTCTAGGAAATATAAATACCTGACGAAATTCGGTCGTGTCAATTATAAAAATTAATAACTTGTGATTCACTTCAGCAGCGTAATGAACTGAATCACTTTAGTCACCATTTTTGCTCGCTGGTCGGCAGATTTCACCAGGGCGAGATCACTTTTTCCCGATTGGCTAATGAAGAAAAATGGATCACGTGGTGGTACATGGGCTCCCCCTAGTGGTAGAAGAAGAAACATTGAGCTTGTTGCAGTGGTTTCCATTTTATTTTATTTTATCCAGTACGTTCCATTTGGTTAACAACAGTTCAGTTATGTTCATAAAAAGTACAAACATTCTTATTTAATTTATGTGCAATACATTTTAATTGAATCATAATTTAAGCACAGTTCATTATTTCCCTACAGTTAAGGGCTATTTAAATGTTTAATGTTAAGGTGGCCTAAAATAATTTCAGAAATACAGTTTAGAAATAAAAACGGTCGCTTTTTCTGAACACTCGTGCCTATAGCACTACTGTATTTTAATGTCAATCTTGATTGTAATTTTTGTTTAGGTCATAAGTGTTTGACGAATACTAAATAATTTCTGTTTTGTTTATAACGTACACACATTTTAAGGAAAACACACGTACAAAAAGAATAGTGGTTATGGAAAACTCTTTATTTAAAGCAAGATAAATTCAGCTCTGTATTAAATATAATTTTGGAAAGAAGAAAAACTAGCAGTCATTATGCACCATGGACAGAAAGAACGTGCACACGCTGGCCCAGGAACTGCTGCAGTACTCCTCCGCCTTCTTGCGGGTCTCCGGGCAGGCGGTGGTGTTCGTCGCAGGCGGTCGGTACGTCGGGGGCCGGTCCACACCGCCGGATTGTGCGGAGATGACGGAGCTGTGAATGTCCAACTTGAAGTGCGCGTCTCGGGGAGCTCCCTTGCACATCCGCGCCCTCACCCTGGTCTTGTCGTCCGCGCACACGCCGCTCGCGAGCCGCCTAAAGGAGCGGGACACCTGCTTCCAGAAGCCCCGCGGGTCGGCGCGGAAGGCCAGGCAGAGGCGAGGCTTGCCGTCGTAGCTGCACTCGCGGTCGGTCACCCCGCCGTGGACGCGCGCCACGGGGTCCTCGCACTTGACCGACACCGTGACCCGGTCGTCGCCTCGCTCCTGGGCAAGCCACGTGCAGTTCATCGTGCCTCCGTAGGGGAAGTTTCCCCGGCCGGCCACCGCTGGAGCTGTCCCGGGAACCCCTGCCGTCTCCCCGGAGGAGATCATCAGGAAGGGAAGACAAACAAACAGAGTTCTCAGCATCTTGACAATGGTCCAATCACTCAAGCTCGTTGACTTTATAGGCACGAAAGAACTTCCGGTGAGTAATAGAGAGCCAATCAGAGTCGTCCGCAGCGCCCACCACCCCAACACATCACCCACACATTTACAAACAGACGCCCCCACGTGACTCACCAACGCTTCCCGCCACAATGGAAAAGTGAGTAAGGGGGCGTGGCTTTGGAGGGGGATGCCTGGGCAAAGGACAAGTTTGTGTTTTTATTACATAACATTAATTTCGTTTGTCATTTATTTGATACACATTTCAGGTTATTTATTTTAGAACATTTATTTAGAGAGGTTCCTTGACTTTTTTCATGTTTTTTTGTCGTAAGAAAAAGAGAACTCTACAGTAATGAAGTTTATAAAAACATACAGTAGTAACAAATGAAGTGCAAATTGTGCATCATAATTATTTAATTGGCAATGTGCTGCTACTTCTGATGTATACACTTTGGTCACCAAGGGGCGGTATACTGTATAAACATGCACAAAAAAATTAGGCGCCATCGTATTATATTTAATCATTATTTCTGAACTTAGCCAAAAGTAAAAGAAGATTTCTTAACTTGTCTCAGCGAGACCAAACAAGCCAATCAGAGACTGCAGAGAGGAGGTGTGACGGAGGGTTGTGTCAATCATTTGACTTGTGGGGAGAAACGCAGGCTGTCACAAAGAAGACTAGTTTCTTGGCCGGTTATTTCATTCCAGTTTGCAAGAAAAGTTTTCAAAAAAAAGAAAAAGTTGGAGAGTTCTGTACTTCTTGTCAAGGGACAGAACGGTGATGTTTGAGGTGCAGATGACTGCAAATGGACGGCATGTGACTGTTGGCCCATCCATCAGGCAAGTTGATCACGCTTATGTTTTCCTTGATTGCACATTCCCCCCAAAATAGAACAATCCAAAGACAAAAGGCACGGCAAAGGATTTGATTGTACTTCATCAATTGAAAAGTTTATTACTGACTCAGCTGTCAAACAAACAAGTGCAAACACATGGAAATGGGATCATTCGTGAAATTAGCGGACCGTCTGTTAAAATGCGGGATGGACGTGAAACTGAAATGTTAGCTACCTTTCCATGATTGGCTATGAGATTTTCAAAAGTACCCGGCGGCTCGTCTGTCAGCATCCCAATGCGATACGTTTGTGCGGTGAGTAACTTCGAACGAGCTCAGTCATCTCCCAAAACTGCAGGAGGTGGGATTTGATTTGGCCACTGTTGCCACGGTTACGCGTCATCCCCTCCACAGAGGAGGAGTAAGGCCTTGCGGTAGTCGCCGCCAGTATCACCCTGTATAAACAAACAAACAAACAAAACACACACATAAAGTTTGAGAGAATGCCAGCCTTCATCACTTCTCATAATTACTTTATCAGTACTTTCAGGATCAATTTTCAAGATCTTGCCTAAAACATCCAATCGTACCAATATTTATGTAAAACCGTATGGTATTGATTTCAACATCATTCACGTCACAATTTTAGCTACAAATAAGTCCTGAAATATAAATGTATGCTACGCTAACATGCTCCAAAATAATTTTTAAAAAGTCAAAATATTACAAAAATGGGATCACCATTTTAAAAGAAAACCACTGTAATACTAGAGCACAGTGGTTAAAAAAAAGGAAAAATATTCAAAGAATGAAGTCATGATTTTACAAGATAAAAGTAGTATTAAAACTATAGTATTGTTGTCAGAGGGTAATTTTACAAGAGTGACCGATATGAGAAAAATGGGGCGGCGTTAATGTGCACCTTGATCATGGAGTGGAGGGAGCAGGCGAACATCCTCCTGAATTCTGCTCTGATGTCCAACAAGTCTACCTCACTGCGAGTGGCCATCACTCGGATCACAGTGTTGTCGTCGGTTCCTGCACCCTGACAACATACAAACCTGAATATAAATCCATCCATCCAGATCTCGATAGATAGATAGATAGATAGATAGATAGATAGATAGATAGATAGATAGATAGATAGATAGATAGATAGATAGATAGATAGATAGATAGATAGATAGAGAGAGACACACCTTCATTGCGTAGTACAGAGTCTCAGCAAAATAGGCCGGGACGCTCCTGGCGCACTTCACTACAGAGGGAAACAAACAGAAAAAAAAATAATTCATTTTACAAGTCTTGGGGTCAGTAGCCGAGGTACGCACTGAACTAACCAACAGCGAGCAGCAGCTCTCTGAGGCTTCCGGATGTCTCCCTCCTGATGCTCTCCTCCATCTCGTACCCTGACAGCTTCATGTAGGCGTCAAAGACTGAAAAACAGAGTGCACAAAAGTGAGGTGACGAACGTTGTGACTGCGCTACGTGCCGGCCTCCCCACAAACCTTTCCTGAGGTGCTGGGGACTGCGGTTTCCCAGGATGGTGACAAACGTCTGCTCGTCGGTGCCGAACTTGTGCTCGCCGGCCTTGAACAGGACCTACCCAAACGACGTTTTGAGATTTTAAGAAAGCGAAAACAAGCCTCTGAAAAACGCTCCTCTAATTAGTTCCAAGTCTTCACAAGGTAACCAACTAGCTAGCGAAGCTAACCAACAATGAACGAAAGTACTTGGACTTGTGGTCAGTAAGCAGCTTGCTAGCTAACTACATAAGTGGGTGTTTGCTAGTTAGCTAACTAGATAAATAGCAAGCTAACAACAGTTTACCTTCCCACAGTTGGCAAGCGTTTGCTAAGTCGCTAGATCAGGGGTCCCCAACCGCCGGTCCGCGGACCGGTACCGGTCCG